TTCTTTTTTTATTTATTAATTTTAATGAAAGTTTACAGAGACTTAGGATTTCCAGTCATTCATTGTTGCACTTTTCTCCCTGCCCACCCTTCCCTCCAAACCACTCTTCTCCTTGAAAAGAAACACTCTTTCATTTTGTTAGGCAATCCTTCCCCCCAAGTTCACTCCACTATGCAAGCCTTCATTTTGGACTTCTATAATGACAAGAATACCCATTCATATATCCCTTTCAAACAGATCTCTCCCTCATCTGTTTCTATGCAATACACATCATTCCTCCCCTCCTTTTCTGTCTTCCTTCAATCCTGATGTCAGTTCTGTTTTACAATAGTGGCCCTATGCAATATTTGTCCTTTTGTGACTGAGATATTTCACTCAGCATAGTGTCCACCAGGGTCATCCATTTCGCATAATATTTCAGGAGTTCCTTGTTTTTCAATGCTGCATAGCTTCTCTATCCATTTTTTGTTAATGGGAACTTACTTGGCTTGTTTCCAGCTCTTTTCTGCTGCGAACAAAGCTGCAATAAACATGAGGGTGCATATATCTGCTTGGGTCACAGTGATGGTTTCTTTAGGGTAATTCCCAGTACTGGGATTGCTGGGTCAAATGGTATTTCTATTTGCAACTTTTTGAGAAAACACCATACAGCCTTCCATAGTGGTTGAACCATTTTACACTCCCACCAACAGTGAACAAGAATTCCAGATTCTCCACAACCTCACCAGCATTTTATGTTTGCTGTTCTGTCAAATTTTGCTATTTGTACTGGGGTGAGATCATCCCTCACAGTATCATCTCACAGATTTGCTTTCTTCATGGGTGATATTCTAGATATCATGCCATAGCTCATCGATCTTTGATGTTCAATGCTTCAAAATTATTCTTAAGTTGATCTTGAAATTAAGATGGAATAGACTCATATCTTGATTCTTGTGAATTTTTGAAATTTTATTTGAGTCAATTTGAATTTGCATATTAGTAATTGATGTGCAACTGACCCACAGTCCACCTCTGACCTAGATTTGACTGTCAATATTGAGCTTCTTCAATGATTCTTTCCACAGATATAGTTGATCTGATTCCAAGGCAGCACATTAGGTGAGGTCCATGTATAAAGTCATCATTTGTGTTTTTTTAAAAAGGTATTTGCAATGACAAAGCAATTTAAAATACAAAATTCTATCATTCTATTTCCAGCCTCATTTCTATCACCCACATTTTCCAACTATTATTCCTTCTTCCACTCCAAACCTGTTCGATCTGTAGGCTGAGTAAATTATCTGAGAAGATGGACTCTATGAAGAGGAGAGTGGCATCAGGATTAGAGAGAGACTCATCAATAACCTGTGTTATACAGATTACAGAACGTTGCTTGTTGAGGAGCGTGTAAAGCACTTGTTGCAGAAGATCAAGGAATGCAGCCTTTGGTATGGATTGCATCTCAATGTCAAGAAAACAAAGATTCTTACTATTAGACTGATAGGCAACATTTAGATGGATGGAGAGGAAATTGAAACTATCAACAGCTTCATCATTTTTGGGCCCACTATTAACACTCTTGGTACCAGCAGTCAGGAAAATTGCTTTGGGAAAATCTGCTAGGGACCTTTCCAAATTATTAAGTTGCTGTTGTTTGTTGTTATGTGTCATCGAGTCACTTGTAATTTGTTATTGTTATGTGCCGTCGAGTCACTTGCCACTCATAGCAACCCTCTGTACAACAGCTCTAAACTCTGCTCTGTCCTGTGCCAATCTCATCGTCTCTGACACACTCATCCCAATTGCCCCAGTCACCGAATCAATCCACCTCCCAGAGGGCCTTCCCCTCCTGCACCTGCCCTCCATCCTCCCAAGCATGAGGTCCTTTTCCAAGGACCGGTCCCTCCTTACAACATGGCCAAAATATGTCAGACGAAGTCTCAGAATCATTGCCTCCAAGGAGCAGCCCGGTTTAACCCTCTCCAGGATGAATCTGTTTGTTTTCTTAGCAGTCCATGGTATCCTCAGCATTCTTCTCCAACACCAACGCTCAAAAGCATCAATTCTCCTTCTATCCTCCCTGGCCATTGTCCAGCTCTCTGATGCATAACAAGTGATTGCAAAGACCATGGCCTGTA